CAGGGAGCCTTCCTAGCTCAATATATATATGAATATATATATATATATTCATCATATATATGATGAAGCCCAAGTTGTCTCTGGCGTAAATGGGGACACACACATCACATACCGAGTAATTAGACTTGTTGATGGGCACACCCCCCACGCCCCACACACAGACTAATTAGACTTGTTCCAAAGTACTTTGTGCCACTCATTAAGTAAACCATTTACTAAATCAGCTACAGTAAACCATCCACTAAATCAGCTACGTCCAGTGGTCTGAGTTGGAGCTAAAGCTCTGGTGTAGAGCAAAAGCCCAGCCACACCCCTTGCCTTGATGCAGTGTTCAGTCTGGTGGGAGGGGCCGTGTACAAAGAGGAGACACCTATCTCAGCCCTAACAAGGTCTAGAAACGGAACATGGATGGCCCTCTAAGGTGAACCGTTTGACCCCAGTACATTTGTTAGTTTGGGGAGCAAGTAATGAGTTTCTATTCCTGTGTTATTTCCAGTAGATTGCTAATGTCTGTCGGCACACAGTGTTGTAATGTTCCTGGGGTCATGTTAGAGACCAGAGGGAAAGAATGTCTTGATTAGTGATGCCTCGCATGGACGCAGAAGGGGAGCACGGCAATGTGTGCTCTGTGTGCTCATTTGACTAGAGTCCAGCTGGACCTTGCGGGCGTTTGAGAAGAGAGGGAAGCAGGGCTGTGACTCCGTGGTCATTGAGTGCTAGACTTCACATTTTTCCTTCTGCTTTGTACCCCAAATGTGATGTCCCAATGAGGCAGCAGTCCAGACAGCTTTACAGTAGCAGAGCAAAGAAAGCTATCAATCAAGACACTTCTCAAGTGTACGGGTGGATGCACTGGGCAGACCGACCATTACCCAGTGGGGAAAATCTGTGCAGTAGGACTTAAATGCTGTCCGATGACTTCTTAGCCTTTACACTGGTAGAAGCCAGAATCTGCTTGTACCTTCTGAAAGTTGTACTTAGCAGTCAAAGGGTTGTTGGGCCACACACAGAGATTAGTAATTCATGGGACTAGCAACTCAAGACAATTTACCAGGAAGCACCACAGTTCTGACTAATCACAGTTTTAAACTCGGTCGGCCTTGGGGGCTAGTTCCAGGTGTGAGTTTCTCCTGGGCACTTCCGTCCACAGACACCTAGGCCTCTGTGCACCTGAGGAGCAACAAGGTCAGGTGTGGGATGGGGAGGAGGGGTTTCTGGCTCTGAATCCATGATACTCTACCAGCAGAAGGTCCTTCCTCATCCTCCAGTTCCATTCCTAAGTGCACTTTCTCTGGTCTTTCCCGGGGACTCCTGGGAGGCCAGAGCCAGTGGAGTCTAGAGTGGAACGCCCACTCATTTGCAAATTGGCAAACAGCCTCCCACAAAGTGGAAGAAGGTTTGATCCAGACCTTACAAGGAACAACAGGGTCCCTTTAACAAACCCAACATTTAATGAACTCAAAACAGTGTTCTATAAAAAGTAGTCCAATCTAATAAAGCAGCTTTTAAATGCCAGTGCACACTTATTAGTCTTGGCTTGAGAGCCCCATCTCTACCTCGGCAGGACCCCACTGCAGCTCCTCGCTTCTGGACCAGTGCATCTGATTTTATTTCAGAATGTTGACTGGTGAAGCATGCCTTTTGTGCCTGGGCTGGCTCTTCCAAATCACTCAGGACCTCCAGACAGAAAAGGTACCCTTTGTTGCCTAGCAAGTCATAAAACAAAGATACAGGAAAGATGAGCTCATCTTTCAGGCAAGTCTTCCATAAAACTCTCTTTGATGGGCTCTTTCAAAATCCTAGGACTGGTAAAACATTCCAACCCATTTTTCCTGTTTGAAGAACCGGCAATGCTCTGAGCCAGAGGTCTTCTTTTGGATTCCATCTGCAGGGCTCCTCCTCTCACTTCAGGGGCATCTGGGGTGGAGGAGTGTTGAAAAGTGGGGGAAGGTTGAGTGGGGCCTGAGAGTGGATGGTAATTACCACAGAAAACAGATGCCTCCTGCCTTTTAGCAAAATCAGTATCAAATGCTGTTTGGCCCAAGCTCATTTGGTCCCCTTCTGTCTCTTATGCAAATTAAACATCTAGAGACCAGCCTGCCACAAAAGTGGAATCACTCCCCGCCCCACCCACTCCTCTGCCCCTTGAAAGCAGTATCGTGTACCTGATTGTTAGCTGATTCTCCGAAATCATGGGAGAGATCTCTTTCTCTGTCCTCAAATTTTATCCTGATGAGACCTTTCTAGAAATCAAAAGCACCTGCTCTTTTGTGAGGGTGGGCTTCCAAAGAGACCGCTGTTACCATAGAAACACTCGGGGTTCATCTGAGAACACTGGGGACATGCTGTCCCAGCCTGGGGATACCATCCTTGACTGCTCATGCCGAGTCCATGCCACACACCATGCTAAGCAAGCAATTTCTATGGATTTGTTGTTGTTGTTGTTAATGTACTTAAATAAGCAATGGGAGATGAGAAGCCTCATTTTACACATTTGAAACCAAAGGTTTAAAGAGGTCAAGTTGCTTGCCCAAGATTACACCACTGGAAATCTGACAGAGCCATGAGGTTTAATTCCAGAGCCGGTACTCACGGTGGCCTGTGGTACACCTGGTATCAATGAAACTAATGTCTTCGCCATACTGGGACCCAATCCTAGCCAACTTCACACTTTCCAAATAGAACCTAACACAGGCACAGAAGGCTCTCTGGGTGCTTTGACTTCAATGAGTAAATGTCTATGCATGTAACATAAATATTAGAATTACTCATTTAATATTCTGAATAACACTGTATTACAGACATTCGTATTCCCTTCCAAAAGAGAAAGAAATTTAGACTCACAGACTCTAGCACCTGCCCTGCCCAATAACAAACATACAGACAATAAATGGTCAAATCTTCGGGCTCCAGGCGCTGTCTATGGCTCAGCCTCACCCTATTGCCTTACAGTATCTTTTCGGGCTCCATCCTACCTTTTCACTAGAGACAGGGAAGCAGCCTTTCCACCTCCACCCTCTCTGTGAGCAACCTCATGCCTAGCTGTCTCCAGATTCTGGAGCTACTGCTGACCTGGCTGAGTCAGAGCTGGCTGTAAAGAGGTGACTCTTGAAGACAACAGCATCCTCTTGCAATGGGCCGTGCGTCCCAGCACAAGCAGAAGGATGCGATTGAACTGTCGGCGCTGGCTCATTATCCAAACCATAGCCAGTGCTATGCAGCCAGGCTGCCTTGGTTTTCCTAAGGTTCCTTTCCTCACCGAGCACTCGGAGCTCCTTCTGTCTTCTTCCTTTCCTACACTCCAAGCACACACTCACCTTGCTCTCTGCACGCCTCTCCCCACCAGTTCCTAGAGAGGGAAGGAAGGAACTTCTATGCTACCGTGTCAGCCAGGGCCAAGTGCAGAGCCTGGCAATTTACCACAAGGGCAACACTGGTGTTTAATAAAAAGGAGCTAAGAAGAAACATAGAGAAAGGATGCTAAAGCCCTGGGGGAAAGCAGCTCAAAATCCACACATGTGAAATCGGGCGTCCAGCAGGAGTGTGAGCATTGGCCTGCGCAGGCAAAGCTGCTGTTTCCAGGCAGCACTGAAATCCATCCCAGTGTTGAAACAGTTTAACTCATCCCTCCCTCTTCCACCCACTGGGCTCATGTCTATGAGCTCCACTGCTTGTGTTTTGTTAATACAGACATGCTTTCTGTTGCAGGAACCTGAAGTCTACAGCGAGACAACGCACAACTGTTTTAAGAGAAAGCGGCACAACTAGGAGTTTGCTTTTCACATGAACTTGTGTGTCTCTCCTGTCTGGTCCTTTGGTGAGAGCCTTCATCTCATGGCTCTGCTCCTGCCCTGGGGTATGAACAGGGTGATGGCCTCCATTTTGCAGAGAAGGAAGCTGAGTCCCAGGAATTTTTAATGGCTTCCCATGGAGCTCTTTCCATAATCCTTAGACGCTATCCTAAGACAACACTATTATAGTACTCCTCTTCAGACTGCTAAGTACAACCGGATATCACTGAAACATGAAATCACCTGTACTCCCAGGATGTGTCTCAACACCCACCAGAGCAGCATCCCCAGTGATGAGTTAAAGACGGATTTGTAGGAGAGTCTCTCAAAATTCCTTTTTCAAGGCCATTGTTCCAGGAGACTAATAAAGCTTGTAAGCCTAAAGGCTTTGCAGTTTAAAGATGTATTTCAGATGAAGCTATAAACATCAAGAAACGGTGGAGAAAAATCACCTTCTTTTAACACAACTTATGTTTTGTTTGACTCCAAGATGTAATTATGCCAGACTAGAATCCTTTTAGATTCAAATTTTCATTCTCCTATGTAAAAATAAGATAGCAAGAAATAGAGTGAGAAAAAATGCAAACGAATAAATTTCTATCTGAAAGAGTACGGAAAGTGTTTGTCTCCATCAGAGGGTTGTTTGTTTGTTTGTTACTCTGATTTTTTGTACAAAAAAAAAAAACCTCTAGATTCCCTGGTTTCAGCAGTAAAAGGGATGGGTGGGGTGGGATTTCTACCTCTGCAAAAGAGAAGAAATGAGATGCAGGAGGTAACTGAGCTGCTACGGGATTATTGTCCCAAGTTCCCCTTTATTCACCCTACAGAGGATAATGTGTGCTCATTGTGACTTATCTCGACTTGGTTTCTTTTACACCCTCTGGATATATAAGGGGGAAGCAGGACAGGGGCTGGAGATTTGGGGAGCATCCGGAAGGCAGCGCCGACACTCCAGAGAGAATGAGAAAGGCGGGAACTTGAGCAACCGTCTGTGACATTAGCCTTCCCAGTGGTATGAGCCAGGGACAGCATCAGTGATCTCCCTTGGAAACTCCCCCACAAGATTGAGTGATAATTTGTTCTTACCCTTGACTTTAACTTTCTGTTCATATTTCCAATGCAGAACAATCGAGACCTGGGGCCTGGAGGGAACGTGAGCACTCGGGCAGTTGGTGCGGTCACCTGGCAGAGATCAGCCCCTGAGACGCAATGGTGGCGCGGGCCTTCATCCTGTTGGCACTCTTTGCAGAAGCCTCAGCGAAATCATGCATTCCAAATAAAGCAGGTACCCCAGTGCCACACTGCTTCCCCAGACAGGGAACCTCTCGTCTCCACCTCGCTGTGACTGAGCTCCGGGACAGCTTAGTTAGGAAAGTGTAGAACATCACCGGGTGGAGGCACAGAAGCCCCCAGGGCCAATCAGACCTTTCCCCACAGGAAGCAAAGATGTACTGAATGAACCAATTTTTGTTTTACAAATTAGAGAATGTTTCCATCCTCTTTTATGTGATGGGTCCACTTTGTTTTATGTGTTCGACTATTCAACGCATGCCGTGTGAGTCTTTAAACAATGTTTTGCAACACTGAGCATGAAATGGTGCAGTGGACATTTTAAATTATCAGAAATCTTCTCATTTTAATGGGAATATATGTAGCAGTCTGTGTTTTCTCAGGTATATTCTGAAGTAAAAGTGTTAGGGCTGGGGCTATGATTTGGTAGTAAAGCTCCTGCCTAGCAAACATGAGGCCCTGTGTTTAATACCCGGTATTGCTGAAAAGAAAGAAAAGAAGGAAGGACAGGAGGGAGGGAGGGAGAGAAGGAGGGAGAGAGAGAGGGGGGGGGAGGGAGGGAGGGAAGAGAAAAAGAATCATTGATCATTGACTCTAAAATAAAGTGACAGTTTTTAAAACCGGATCCAATTAAATAAATACTAAATAGCGATGTTGTTATATGTGGTATAAATTAGGAAAGCAGTTCAGTGGCTGTTTGGGGAAACCCAGCACATGGTGGAACAACAAGAACATGGTTTCAACTGCCTCTGCATGATGTTTGCTGACCATGTCTGATTCAAACCATGTGTGTACTCCTCCAGATGTCATCCTCGTGTTTTGTTACCCCAAAACCATCATTGCTAAAATCCCCGAGTGCCCCTATGGATGGGAAGTACACCAGCTGGCACTCGGGGGGGTGTGTTACAACGGGGTCCATGAAGGGGGCTACTACCAGTTCATCATCCCAGACCTATCACCCAAGAACAAGTCCTACTGCGGCACTCAGTCAGAGGTAAGGCTAAGCACACCCAAGGCAGAGGGACTGAAGCAAATTTAATGAGATACAAGAGTGAGATGTTTGGTGCTGTTCTTAAGAGAATTCCCAATGCTCCAAATTCCTTTTAAAAGTCAGTCCTGTTGTTCAGATCCCCTAGGAGGCTGTAGTGGCTAAACTCTTCTCTTGTACTGCTGCTGTTCATGCCCAGGTACAGATGTGCAGAGGTTGCATTAATCTTGTGTCCTCTTCTACCGTGCCCTCATCTCTTGAGATGTGTCTCTTGCTGATTCAGTGATACTGGCTGGTCAGCGAGACCCTGAGAGCTCCCTTCTCCATTCCCCAGTGTTGGGATTACAAACTCGTGTCTGACCACCCCCCCCCCAAGCCCAGTATTTTATAACTGTGTTAGAGATCTGAACTCAGGTCTTTGTGTCTATGCAGTAAGCGGTTTCCCCACTGATCCCCTCCACAGCCCTAGATGGCTCTTTGAACTTGACTTCCATTTTCCTAGCTCACGGGGCATGCAGAGAACAGCAAAGCTTCCCTCTGGGCTGGAACAAACTGCATTTCTCATTTAAATTGGACGTGTTGGTCTCCGAGTTGGATGCCCGAATCAGTGGGTCATCCATCTGTCTCCATCCAGCTGAACTGTCCAGACACTCTTGAGAAGGAGCATGTGGAATACAGAAAAAAAATAGACAAGAAACTGGAGATAGAGCTGGAAGGGCATTCCAGTGACTACTGAACCTGCCCCAAGTCTATTTTTCCATAGCCCTTTTATACCCCACACCAAAGGGGAGGACAAAGGGACTTTTTTTTAATGGTGATACAAGAAACAAACAAGAGTGATTACTTCCTTAATATTCAAAACACCCAGTAACTACATCTTAGGTCAGACATCCTGTTATCTAGGCAAGATGTTCAGCAACTTCACCTTGGGCCAAACTTCCTGTTGTTTGACCTTGTAGGAGCAATAATAGGCTCAAACTCTCTGACCTTATGTCAGGATGGAGTGGAGCCACTTCTCTGGGCCTCCACAGCCATCCTTTCCCCAGGAATTGGAAGTGGCAGTTAAGTGCATCGGGAAAGCACAAATAGGATCATAAGCAGGATGAAGCGTCCATGGCAGGGGACCAGGGAATCACAAGGAACCACAGCCTCTTGATGGGAAAAATCTGAGGCCTCCCCCATAGTATCAGTTCTCAGCCACAGAAGTAACAAGAACATGGTCCCTGACACCATGGGCCAGTATTCCTTCTGCCCTGACTACCAGAAAGGCATGTGCTTATAAACCTCAGAACGAAAAAGCCAACTCTTCTTCCTGGAGTGCAGAAGGATTCGGATGTGATGGGAAGACCCATGAGCAAGGTGAGCACGGCGTCACATCTGTGAGTGCACCCTGGCGACCTGAATGGAGAACATCTCCATGTTTCAGGCCATTTCCTTTAAAGACAGGTGCTCACCATTCTAATGTTGTTGAGTTTTGAGACCATCTTGACAGAAAGAAGAATTTTATAAGTGGTGCTTTCTGGTTAATAGATGTTTTCACTACAGACTTACGATCTAGAGTGGAGGATGAACAACGACATCTATAGGACAATGGACAAAGGGATAAAATGTTGAGGCTGGGAGCAGAGACTCTGATCCCGTCCATCAGAAGCCCAGTAGGACTTTCCTACATATATACTATCAACCTCAGTGAAGGGATTCCAGAATTCTGCAAATAATTTTGCCACAGAGAACGGGTTCTACTGTTCCTGATAAACATTTCTGTTCCCTTGTTTTGATTTTTTTTGCTTTGTTTTGTTTTATTCTTCAACATTATTCTTGGTTTGAAACTCACTATATAGCTGAAGCTTGCCTGGAAACCCTCACCATCCCAACCTCCACCTCCCAAGTGCCAGGATGACAGGCACGTGCCACTAATGCCCAGCCTTTTCCTAAGTCATCTCCAACCACTTTTCCCAGAGTCCTCAGTCCCGTCGGGAGGACAGTGTGCACCCTAACTGCCTTCTTCCTTCCTCCAGTACAAGCCCCCCATCTACCACTTCTACAGCCACATCGTGTCCAACGACAGCACAGTGGTTGTGAAGAACCAGCCTGTCAACTACTCCTTCTCCTGCACCTACCACGCTACCTACCTGGTGAACCAGGCTGCTTTTGACCAGAGGTAAGCCGCACTGGGGGTGGAGGGCCGGCCACAGTGAGGATGCTACAGTCCCTGTCAATCAGGCATGTTTCAGTCCTTATGCAAAATTCTCTCCCCTTTTCAGAGTGGCCACTGTCCATGTCAAGAATGGGAGCATGGGCACATTTGAAAGCCAGTTGTCCCTCAACTTCTACACTGTAAGTCCAGGTTGTCTTTCCTCAGGGAACTTCCTTACACAGAAGTCATTTTCTCCCGGGTCCAGGCAGAGCCCCATTCGGGAACTCCGATGGCGGCAGAGCCCCATTCCGGAACTCCGATGGTGGCATATGGCCTTAGCTTGACTTTAAAGCTCAGGTGCAACGGAAGGTCCACTTTACAGGCCAATAGATGGCTAAATGGCACAGATGTGGCTGACCTCCCCACTTCACTGGTACCAAAATGAAGGCAGTGTCACTGGACAGACAATAGAACACCCGTGTCTGACTCTTGAGCAAGATTAGTATCTATCTCTTTCCTCTCCAGAGATTTATTTGCCATTAGGATCTCAAAAACATTAGCCAAGAGCGTTGTACTCCCTGACCAGGCCAGAACTAAAGACAAGGCTTAGGGCTAGCCTCCACTGTTTAGTTCTTCCACCCCATAAGCCTTCCAGTAAGATCCCCCTTGCTGTTCTAATTGAATCTGCTGCCTGTATTGCCGTGGAAAGTTAAAGGCACACTCTGGCCTCTCTCAAAATTAAGTGCTGCAGAGAAACTAAATATGCACTGGCCCTTAGCCCGGCTGCTCTCCCGACAGAGAAGGCGCTTTGTTCTCAAGCTGCAGCCTCCAGTGAGGACACAGGCACACAGAGGGCACGCTGGCCCGGCTGGCTAGAGGAAGACACGGGCAGAGACACAAACGTTTGTGTCGAGCGTTGGAAGTGTCCTTAAAGGGCAGCTCATCTGACCCGTTTCGTTTCCAAGAGCAAACACCGCCCCATCTGAAACCTGTCAAACACTGAACATTCTTCACCTACGCCCCTGCAGCTTTTAGCCCCTGAGCTCACGGGTGAGTTCTGGGAGGATCCTAAACAGCCTAGTCTGCCTTGCGGATAAGGACATGAAATCCAAAAGAAGGAAGGTAGTTGCGCAAGACCACACAGGGGCCTTGGAGAAGCCTCTGGTGGGAACAGAAAGTCCCCAGCTGAGGTGCTGTCCACAAAGGGTGAGAGGGGGAGAAAGCCCCATGGCCCTTCACCCACAAAGCCCTTGTGTAAGACAGGGTTCAATTTTTAAATCTTTTTTTAAGATTATTGTTAAAGAAGGATTTCTAAGATGTATATGCTTCAAGATTCCTTAAAATCCAGACTAGCCCTGGCTTCATATCATCAGTGGCTGACTCAGAGACAGAAATACCTTGTCAGTGCCCAGGGATAATGCACCGTAAACCAGCAGGGGTGATGGAATGGCTGTGAACGGCTTCCCACATGGGACTACAGTCTATACTATGAAGGCCTGCCTAGAAGTTAGTAGTTGGTATTCTAATGGGATAGACTAGAGATTTGATCCTATGAAATTTACAATAGTTGGCGACAGAGGTCAAGGTTTTTAAACTCATATCTCACCGTCAACCACACAGGGTGGAGTTTCAGACATAGACATAACCTCAGAAGTAGAAGGAACATATTCCCTCAGTCAACCAATCCATCTTCACCAGCCATCTCCAGAGATGCAGAAATAGATGGACAAATTACTTCCTGAATTATCTAGATATGAAGCCAAGGTGTCCCCCAAACCCCACCGTCAAAGTCCCTCCATAACGAATGGACTTTAGCAAAGAGCAGCTTCCGCTGTCCAGACACTTTTGTTCTGGTTTAGATTCTGCTGTGGGCTCACTTCCCTATTCCTAACCATGGTTTTTTTCCCCCACTTTGAGGGCATTCTTGGGTGTTTCTAAAGCAACAACTACCCCCTTGCATATATTTCCATCCGATTACCAGAAACAGAGCCATGCCCTACATAGCACAAAGGAACCAACACACTGCTAATGGCTCAGGATTCTGGGAAATCCAGAGCCTGGGCCCCAGATACACTCCTCCTGCTCTGCATAAGTCCTCTCTTCTCTCTCCATCCCTTCCCGCTCGCTTTGGCCAAGGACCCATAGTTGATATTCCCAGGGCAAAGTTATGACTCTCATTCGAAGACAAAGGAAGGTTGTCGGTTTACAGATAAAGCCTGGGACTGTGGGTTCAAAAGAAAATGGGCCATGCTACAAAGCCTGGTTTGCTATTTACTAGTTAGACGACTTTGGAAAAGTTAGGGAGTCTCCTTGCACCTCCCTCTCTGCAGCCATAAACTAAGATTTTAGGAGACTTGGTGAAACTCTGTGTAAGTATGGCGTGTGGATTTGGTAAGTACCCAGGAAGCCAGTTGTTCTTGTGAGTGGAGACTCTGGCCCCATTTAACGTGGACGCTCGGGGCATTCTGACAATTGTTGCCTTTATAAAGATGACTATCAGTGTTGGTGTGAGAGTAGTTTAATGTCTTAGCATCAAACCAGTACTGCCCATTCTTCTTAATGGTGATACAAAAAGAAACGAAAAGGCTTGTGGTGGCCATAGGCAAACAAAGACTAAGGATCCTTCCAGAATCAGAATAAACCACAGAAACCACCCTTGATTTCCCACCTGAAGCCCACAGAGCTTCCATTGCTGAGGGCGGCCACTCCATCTCTTCCAGTGACACAGGTGAGCTGGCCTTGTGTTTTCGATTATCAGGTAAAATCTGACCCCTGAACTCCTATTTGTACTGGTTCTGACGGCTGAAGTAATTCTGTGGAATTACATCGGTCACAGCTCTCCAAAGGCCCCGTCTTCTCTAAACAAGACATCTTTTCACTGGTTTGCTGCCATCCTGGTCACTTCCCTTCCAGCCCACGCCAGCTGGCAGTGCCCTCTACAAAGTGAGACCAGAGTTGAAGTGTTCGATTCCAGTCCTCTGCTGAGTCTGTACGAGACATAGTAGGCCACAGGTGACCATCTAGGTTCTGGAAAACTCTAGGATTATGTCCTAAAGTATTCACTCTAGGTTGGATTTCTTTCCTTGCTGTCTCACCTATGAACAAAAGCAATTAGATGAACTTCTGCTCAGTTAAGGATTTAACTTGGGTGACTAGCTAGTTGTGAGTCAACCTTTTGGTCAAGGGAAGGAATGCTGGAATACAGTTTCTCAGCAGACTTGTCCATCGTATAGGGCAAAAAAGTAGTCTTTGTCATCTTTTTGTTTTTAGGAATGTCAAGATAAACATCCCTAGCAAATAAATAGGTTACCACAGTAAAGCTATCTGAAGACAAGTCTCTGATTTTCATGTTATAAATAAAGAAGGGGTCGCCAGACGTGATGGCTCTTATTTGTAATCCCAGCACGAGAGGGAGAAGCAGGGATGCCGGGAACTAGAAGGCAGCCAGGTCTACACAGTGAGTTTCAGGCTAGTCAGAGTAGTATAAAAAGACCCAAAAAGGAAGGAAGAATGGAAGGGAGAGTGAGGAGGGAAGAAGGAAAGGAAGAATCATGCTAATCATTATTGTAGTTATCAGAAACGAAGATGGCAGCTTCTGCTCTTCGCTTTGCTGCAGAACTGGACAACGGCTCCCTCAGCAGTGATATCACACTCTACCAGCTGATCTCCAGGAGAAAGACTCCACAGAGGTGTCTCTGGAGACCTGGGGACTAATGCCATTTCCAAATTAGTTGCCATGCTTGGAAATGTCCCCTGAAATTTCATACATTTTTAGACAATACCAAAAATTCTTTTAAAAAACTACTGAAAAGGTATTACTTCAGCCATACGCTATGCAAGGAAATCACTTATGCCTGAGACCATTATCGCTCAATTGTGGCAGCCAGTAATGCCGTGCAGACCTGACTAATGAAAAGAGGGGAGCCAGCTTCTAGGTGGCTTCTTGTGGGAGCCTCGGCTGGATCTGCTTCCGTAGAATAATGTGAGTCACCCTAAGAGAGAGATTTGGGGCCCCCTCACAAAGTCTCGAGTTTTGGACCCGTAGGAGGCCCAGGCCACGTTGACCAGATGTCAGTTCTGTCTACTGCTGCCTACCAAGTTGCAAGTGTCTAAGCTCATAAATTCAGGTTTTGAAAGACCCTAGTCTAAGCTTTATGTTTCTATGCTACAATGTCACAAGGCTATCCTCATCTCACAGGACTGAAGAAATGGGTCTAAAGTTAGCCCGTAGGGGCCAGGATTATCTTGGGATCTTAGCCTGTCTGGCCAATGCCCCTGTCTCCCACGGCTAATGCCAGCCAGTAGTCCAGATTCTTACTCAGGCGAATTGAATAGGAGGAGACTCACAGATTGGAGAAGGAGCCTCCATTGAGGAGGTCAATCACAGCTCTAATTCCTACTGACTCACCCAGCATTATCTGAAGATGATATTTAGGAGCAGATCCTGACACTCCTGAGCCTGTCATGGCAGTGACCCTTTGGTACGCCCTCCTTGACAAACCTCACAGCCCTATAATCTCATCCCTACCCCTTGCTCAAATGCTGCCTCCTCAAGGAGGCGTCCCTGACGGCCCTCCTCAAACATGTAACATGGGGTTGGGGAGATGGCCCCACTGGCAAAGCATTTGCTGAGGATCTCAGTGCAATCTCCAGAGCCTGCATTTGAAAAACCAAGCTGAGCTCCATCTTGAAATCCCAGTGTGGGGAAGCAGAGACAGGTGATCCCTGTGGCTCATCAGCTAGCTGGCCTAGTCCACTTGGTGAGTTCTAGGCCAGTGAGAGGCCCTTTCTTAAACTCAAGGTAGACAGTGCCTGAGGAAAGAAACTAGAGGTTGACCTCTGACCTCTACACTCATACCTTTATGCACTCATGTACCCACACCCACACAAACATTCATATGAATACACACACACACACACACACACACACACACACACACACTGAATGCAGCTTACCCTTCCTCCTGTTCCCAGTCCATTTTGCTATTTCTGTGGCTTCTAACATTACTCACTAGATATCAGTCTAATACACTGTGCAATTGACTTCCTTTCTATTGCCTTTCTCTCCTGCTAGAACATCGAATCATTTGGAGATAGAGCTTGCTTCATTAGCAAATATTATATCTCAAAGCAGAGTATCTTGGCATAGAAACTACCCAAATATGTAGAACAATACCTAACTACATTGCAGGCAACCAAAGGCTTATGTCTGTGGACAATCGCACTGTTTAGAACCCAGGCGAGCATTTGCTGGGAGCGCAGGGAACAGGGACCGTTGTTCTTGCCCTGAGTTTTTGTGAAGCCGTGGCTTGCTATCCTTGGATTGCACTATTTTTCCATCAGTCGGTTTTGTTGGCATCACTGAGACAATGTGTGTCAAACCATGACCAGCAAATGTCCTTACCCCATCTAAGATGACATCTGTGTCCGCAGAGGTACAGTTTCTCTGACTCTCGAGTTTCTCTATAATCTCATGTGCTTTGTTTTGGGCTGGTGGCTTCCATCTCTAACCCTTCCCCAAAGTGTCTGCTCCCGCCAGACTGACTGTTCATTCTGAGAGGTCACAGTGCCTAGTGTTCCCATTTCCTTCCCAAGAATGCCAAGTTTTCCACCAAGAAAGAAGCTCCTTTCATTCTGGAAACATCCGAAATTGGTTCAGACCTGTTCGCAGGAGTAGAAGCCAAAGGGCTAAGCACTCGGTAAGTCCCTTTATACACTGTGTATTTTTAAGGACAAAGAAAAAAAAAGACTAACAGATTCTAGTCTTCCAATGTTTGTATACACAAGGCTGGTTAGTGACACCTCCTTATTTTATTTCCAGGTTTAAAGTAGTCCTGAACAGCTGCTGGGCCACCCCCTCGGCTGACTTTATGTACCCCTTGCAGTGGCAGCTGATCAACAAGGGGTAAGTCTACTTTCTGGAGTCAGTGCAGAGCGGTGGGTCCAGTGTGCGCTGGTCTCTTCTGCTATGGCTTGGAATCGCTTGGGAGGAAACTTTCTGTTCATACTAGATCCTTTGGGTAGAGCTCCAGTTTCAAGAGTCCTTAGTGATATTACAGTATGGAGATACATCTATATATGTAGACAGACAGACAGACAGACAGACAGACAGACAGACACATGTCTATCTGTATGATATTACCAGGCATTTCCCCGTACACATGGGCACAACAGCAGCAGCACACTCCCCTCAAAGGGTGATTCCATGTAGGGCAGGGAACTCGCTCAGGGTGAGGGGGAGACCTCCTAGCAGGCTGCCACCATCCAACCAACCAGAGTGAGCTGTCACTGAGAGGCAGGTGCCACAACCTGTGCCAAGAGATGGTGGCACCAAGCCATCTAGGCTCGCCCATTCTTTACCATCCCTTCCCCCACCACAAAGCTCCTCTTACGTTACTTTCCATTGGCTGACACCAGCCTAGGGCACTCTGGCTACAAAGAGCTATTTTAAGGCTCCACATCTTGAGTTCAGACAAGGATCTCAGGTTTATTGACCAAACAATCCCGCTAGATCCTCATATCATAAGCTGGAAAATTCTCACAACCCCATCAGTGCCAAGGCCACAACAAACAGAAATAGCTCTGACCCTTGGCCCAGATCAGAAGGTACAACCTTTGTTTCTCACTCATGACTCCTCAGAGAGAATTCTCAGATGATATTTTCAGTCAGTTCTGTCTCAGCAAACAATTTTTCTTCCCATTATCTAGATAATATGTGGAAAATATGACTATGCTTTAATAATGGTTATTATATAATATATCAACAATTAATTGAACATAGATTCATTTTTCCACTTTCAGGCAAAACCTAAGAGCACACACAGAGCTAAAAAGTAGGTGCGACTTGAGTTTGGGTGTCTATGGCAACAGGAAACACACCACTCCCATCCATCATGGTGGTCCTTACCTTGTGTTACGCTGAGGTCTTCCAGAGGCCAGTCCTACAGAGGGCTTTATCTCTTGGAGATGTCACTTCTTTAGGACAGGGGTTCAACCTACCAGATGTATGGGTTCTCATAAGTCACCCCCTCTTTTAGAATTTGAGATAATCAGGTCTACCCCGATAGCCTTCAATTTGACCTCTCACTCAGGGATCAGAGTTCTTTGAAAAGACAAGCGGCTGTGCCCAGGTCTACCAGAGAGCTGTGTGAAATGTTGCCTTGGAGCCTTTCTGGCGGTCTCTGGTGTGATGTGTCATTGTTCCATTCTCCCTTCTCCCGTGCACACCAGCTGCCCCACTGGTCTCTGGTGTGATGTGTCATTGTTTCTTTCTCCCTTCTCCCGTGCACACCAGCTGCCCCACTGATGAAACCGTCTTCGTGCATGAAAACGGCAAGGACCACAGGGCAACTTTCCAATTCAATGCCTTCCGGTTCCAGAACATCCCCAAACTCTCCAAGGTTTGGTTACACTGTGAGACATTCATCTGTGACAGCGAGAAGCTCTCCTGCCCAGTGGTGAGGGTCCTGGCTCTGGAAGGAAGATATGGCCCCAAGGGGCTGGGATTGGAGAAGCTGGATTGACCTGGGAGAGGTGGGGCCTGGGTGCAGAGGCAGAAGGTCTGGGCCTGTCTACTTTGCTACCAAAACTTACCAGTTTGGTATGTATGGCTGGATTCATCATCTTGGAATAGAGGTGCTCTGTTCTGATGGCTGTTCCCTTCTCAGAGAGCAATGTAAGATAAAAATGAAGGTAGCAATACGCACGAAAAGGCTTTGAAAAAGTTAAAAGTGTTAAGAAATCCAAGATATAGACAGAACTCTAAAGGTGGGCGATTGCAGTCCCGACTGGACTGTCTTCAGAGAAATGCTGAAAATCTAGGTCAGTGCGGACAGCACAGTGGGCGGAAGGGCCAGTGCCCTGCGGCTCCGGGATTTGCAGAGTGAAGAACACCTCCTCGGGAACTTGGGAAAGTGCTGAGCGCCGAACCGTCCCGTCCTCCACGTAGACTGGAGGCCTTGGAGGCCCGAGCGAGCGTCTAAAGAGACTGCCAGCCCACATGGCCTGGATCAAACAGCAGAAAGGAGGTTGGATCTCTCCTTCCATCCACTCCTGTGGCTAGAAAGCAGTTGCTTCTGAACACAGGGAGGAAAAGAAAATAGAGCCAGGGGCTGAGGGCTTGGGGGGGGGGGGGGAAGAACCAGTTAGTACTTGATCAAAGGACAGCAGCAGCGTTGCAGTTTTAACAGAAGGAAAGGAAGTAAAACACATTTTGTGAGTGTCCTCTTCTCCTATCACTGAGTTAAGGGAAAGTCAAGTCTTGTTTCCTATTAAAATGTGCAGTGCCCTCCTCTGCTGGAATAACAACGACCTAGTCCAGCAGGGATTACCCGGCCTGGAGAGTCAATGGACGCTAGCTGCGTGGGTGCGTGCGTGCGTGGGTGCGTGCGTGCGTGCGTTTGTACACTTTATGTAAGTAGTGAATGGGTGGGGACTTGGCGTTCCATGAACTTTCACTTTGCTTTCTGGTTTGTCTCTTGTTTCCTTTGTTCATTTCTCCTCCGGTCTTCAGAACTGCGACAAACGGAAGCGGATGCTGCGTGAGCAGACAGGGGGTGTCCTGGTGGTGGAGCTGTCCTTGCGGAGTAAGCTGATTCCCCCATAGTCGTGTGCACTCTGGGCTGTGACCACACGCACGGCAGGTTTGAGCATTTTGATTGAATTGTCAAACCAGGCGTGCCTGTGGACACAACACTCACCTGCTCCTCGAGTGGCGCGGGTCTGATCATGTGGGCCCAAGGAGGTGAGGTTTGTTGGCTACCCAGAAGGCCTTCTGGGGACCCAAATCCAAATGCTCCTAAGGAATTAGGAAGTACTGACGTGAGCTTCCAAACTGGTCATGCCATGAACGACAGGAATGGGAATGCAGGTGTCCTGGGAATGTCAGCGAGCCTTCACTGTCCAAACCTGGCCTGGACACTAAGTTCCAGAAATGAACAAGACTCACAGAGTTTACCTTCTAGCCAGGAGAGGGATAGTACACACTGAGGAGTGGGGGAATGTTGAGGGGTGGGGGATGGGTAAGGTGATGCAGGAGTGTGTAGCAGCAGGAACTGACCCAGTACAGGCCTTATAGACTGTTGGGAAATGTCACTGTGACCTGGATGATGCTGTGAGCAGAGGGTAAGCCAGACTTTGGAGTTGTCCCTTAAAGCATAATCACCAAACCACCAACCAGGGCCACGTCCCCAGACGTCCTCTTGATTTTATGGGGCCTACAAATAAAACAGGTTTGGTACACTTTCATGCAGTCCCAAGAATTGAAAAGAAAAAATGTGGTGCATAAAAATTTAGTAAAATTAAAATCTCAGTGTTTATAAAGTTTTATTAGAACACAGATGGCATTGTCTACAGTACATTCACACAAAGACAATGCAATAAGGCCATGTTTGGTGTAGTGGTGCACACCTGTAACCTTAGTCCTCAGGGGGCTGAGGCAGGAGGATAGTGAATCTGTGACCCATCTGGGATACACAGTAAGACTGACAGAAGGTGTAAAGAAAGAAAATACTTCACAGCCCCCTGCAAAGCTAAAAATATTTACTATCTTGTACTTTCCAAAAATATTTAGTGGCCCCTGCTTTAGACAGCCAAAGTGGCAGTGCCGGGAGAGGAAGCCTTTGTCAACCTCAGTATGCAGCACTTGGGAGGTAGAAGTGGGTGGATCTCTGTAGGTTTGAGGCCAACCTGGTTTACAAAGTGAGTTTTAGGAGAGCCAGGACCCTTTCATAGAGGAAACCCTGTCTCCAAAACAAAACAAACAAACAAAAACCAAAACCTCAGTATACTTCCTCTGATTTAGTGGGGGTTGGACGTGGCCAGGTCTGTGGCTCAGAAGCAGTCCTGATACTCCTTCCATGGCTTTCTTCAGCCTGTGTTCTCTCTCTTTGCTTACTCCAGGCAGGGGACTCTCCAGCCTCTGTGGCTTCTCAGGTAAGGAGAGAGGCACTCTCATGTCATGGGGCAATGGTTTGGGAGTGGTTGCACTGTTAGGGATGTTTTCTATGGCCCCAGCAAAATCTGTCATCGAAAATCTACATCTTAGAGTACACCTGAGTGGGGCAGATGGGGACAGAGGTAAGAGATCTCACGCCAACCAGCCTGTCTCAAATGGATGGAGAACCATCAGAGGCCACAGAACCCCCTGAACAAAGCCATCACCAAGTGGCTTTCCTAAGTTTCCTGCACTTTGAGAACGTAATTTTGAATCAGATTGTCTTCTCATTAGCAAGTATTTGAGTCCCTGCTTTGACTCTGTGGCTCATTAACAGAGCAACTTGGATAAGAAAGAGTCTCAGCCTCCTTACTCAGCTTTGCTCTGGGAACTGGGTTATGATTGTCCCGGGCATACGTGGTATGCTATGAATTAATTATACTTCAGCATTAGACGATACAGTGGACGAGACAAGATCATGGGGTGAAGGCTGGGGGAAGCGACATAGCAAGCAGCTGGAGAAGCTTCCGAGAGGAAGAGCCATTTCAGCTGCAGCCAGGGTCGCAGTGGAAAGGTGACAAGGACATAGGGTGGGGTGGGGCTGTTGCACTGATTTGCTGACTTCCAGATTGGAATCAATTAGTCAGTATAAGAAAATCATATAAACTGATTTCGATGTCCACTTCTCCTTCTAAAGGGAAGTGCTCCAGAGAGCATCCGACAGGGAAAGGCGTGTGCCAGCGCTGTGCAGTCCAAGTCAGATGTCTGTTTTCTGGAGGTCCACAACCTAGGCTTATGTGTTAGGGCCTCTGTGTTGATCGAAGTGGAGCATGCAAGTCCCAGAGGACGAGCAGGAGTGACTGGGTGTAAAATTTGGAAGCTGTACAGCAGCCCCGTTGCACTAACTCTGGCTGAACGCTCTTCGGCCTCACACGGCTGTTTCTCAGCGCTGTATCTGCCCCCTCTGCTTCACAGGTGTTCTTTATCACCTCGTCCTGATGCTGGGGCTCTGCGCTGTGCTATAGGACACACCTGGGCAGCTGCAGCAACTCTCTCCAAGGTCGCCCCAACTACGACACATCTGTTTATTGTACTGCCAAAAAGAACGAACAGAAGACTTCATTGCTGGGGAGCCGAGAATAGTGCTTTGCCAAATATGTGTTCCCCATGATTTGTGTGTGTGTGTGAATTTGGTGATCCACTCTCGTTAGAGCCACACTTCCTCGCACTCCTTCCTGTGGCTATTACACCCTGCCAGTCCCCTCCACGAGGGTGGGGAGGAGTCAGCTCTCTCTACTCAAACTCGGGCAGCATTTGAAAGCTGCTTTCATCATAAAAGATCACACACACACACACACACACACACACACCACATGCAGCTTAGCATCTGGATACCATAACCACAAAAATCAATGCCAAATACAGAATCCACAGGGGTAGCCAACTTTACCCAGCAGGCACTCTATCGCTGAGACGGTAGAATTCTGAAGACTAGAATTGAGCCCCTAGGCAGGAAGTTCCAATCTTCAAGTGTCAATGTGGAAATCCAAGTTAAATACAATATATTTACTCAAACTTGTGTAATAGACAAGAAGTAGGTTCTTAAGAGCCTCTAGGACTAATGTGTTTATATTTTAGGGTTTCTTAAAATGATATTAACCTTAGGTAGGTACTACAGTGCCTTATCCTTTATAACTGATTATATTTCTGTAATGAAAAGCAAATAGGGAATAGACTCTGGAAGGGGTAAACTCACATAGTAACGCGGCATTGCCTGCAGGAAGTGAAAGGCAGTGGGAAGGCCGCCTGAGTCCAGGTTCCCTGAGATTTGAGGGCCCATCCTCCCACACAGCTTGTGATGTTCTGTGTACTCACGCCTCGTTTGCTCGGGGAAGTCTTCCCGTCTGGGATGCCTAACGCCGCGCATCTTCGCCAGAAACACTCACGCCCACGTCTGTTTCCGTCTTGTCCACTTAGGATTGTGGGAATGGAACCAATAGGACCAGAAATGCCATGCAAACACAGCCTGCGGCATCACGGGACGGCACACTCCCATGACGGGTCACACCCGTGATCTAGAATTGCCAGTGTCGGTGACTCACAGTAGCCGGCGAACTTTATAAACCCACCCTGCCGGGGCATCCGCTCTGGTGAGACAGGACAGGTCCAAGATCTACATTTTTTTCCTTTGTCACATACATACTTCACATTTGAAATCACGTGTCAGTTTGTCCCTCTGAGTTTAATGCCCTTGAGAGGTTTGAGGACTGCAATTTGCTGATCATTTTACAAATTGCATAAATGAACCTAGAAATTGAACCAGTTACCAAGTCATGTTTGTTTAGCCATAGGCTGGGGTACTATGGTTCCGTGCAGTCTAAACTTGGTATCTAGCTGGCGCACCAATCAGGGTGGAATCTCTTCCTAATGTAAAATCGGAGTTCGTTGTGTTCAGAAAATACAGAAAACCTCATTGGTTCTGGTCAGAAACTCTTACATAGCAGACATATAGCCAAGTTCATGTCTTTGGATGTCAGACTAAAACAATGTTTAATTTTCTCACCATGATCTATGTGATCTTGTATCTCTACCTGGTGCTGTGGATTAAATAAAATGCCTGGAATAAACAACCTATGGCTGCAGTTTATTTACATGTCCATGAATTATGGTAGAAGCCATTCCCACAACTTTTCCAAGGACTTCTAGACTTCATAGAATCCAAATATTCTACCAACTTTCAATCCTTTGTACTTCAAACCCTCCAGTACAGGAGTTTACAGACCAAGAGGCAAGGAAGCAAAGCCAGCCTGTGGGACTAGCATTAGGGAGGCAAAATCGCCTGGGCCTTCTCTGCCTGTGAAAGGCCAGTGTCTCTCACCAGTCACTGAGTTCGGCTCAGGTTTAACTGGTAGCCCCACACAGTGTTTGTTTGCCTTCCTGTCAGAGAACTTCTCTACAAGGGGTTAAGAGAAAGACCCTCACTGTAATGTCTGCTGCAAATTCTAACTCGTACTAAACACAACATAGATATCCAAAGAAAAATACACATTCCAGTAGGTATCCTTAGTGTACACACACAGACGTGTGCACACGCCACTAGATACAGATTTGTGGAAACTGCTCTTATAAAAATTTCTAACTATGATATCTATATTCATCCCCTTTCTGTCTCCCTCCATCCGTCCCTCCCTCCCTTCTCTCTCTCTCCATGTGTATATATGCACATATATACCTAGTGTATGTATGTATATGGGTGTGTGTATATGAATATGGGTATGCATGTGGGTGTCTGTGTTTGTATATGTATATGTGTATTGTATACATGAACAGGTATGAGCATCAAATGTTTATGTTACAAATCAAATGAAGACAGATTTAACAAAGTCTTTATTATCTGAATATGATTAGGTAAGCAGATGGGCTAGGGCTAGAAGCAAATATACCTCATTGATACAACTACAAAGATGGAATAATAATTGATGTCCCCCAAAATAAGGTGGATGGCAGTAGAGAGAATACCTGATCTGCCCTACACATGCACACACACACACACACACACACACATGGCGGTTGGGGGGGGGGGGGGGATTTAAAAGGAGGAAGCCGTATGCTTTCCTGTAGCTCCACTGAGCACACAGGAAAAGCAATGCTGTCTACACAGCTGGTGGCTCAGGCTGTCTCCTGGGAATAATGAGTTTATCTTCCAGATGGAAAACAAGAGACGAAATGCAAATGAGTTTCTAAAAATACCCACCGGTTAAAGATAAAGGGGACAGGGACACTGCGCTGCAGATGACACCCACACAAACTGCTGCTTTCCATTCTGGATGCCATGTTCACAGTGTCCCCAAACAGACATGGTGATTCCCACCACACCGGCCACCGCAGGACCTAAGGCGGGAACAATAGAGAGGTCTAACCGCCTGCCTTCCCCAGGGCTGGGCTCCACATGGGCCATCAAGTCCATAGAGGAAATTAATTCAACACGTATTTATTTAATGCCCTCTCGGAGCAGTGTTTGAAAATATGTGACCCAGAGCGCCTGGAGCGCTTCTACAGGTGTACGCACTTCTTGCAGAAATCAGCAGGCGAGCCTTAACCACATTCTTTACGAGCTGCAGATGTAAACAAAGCCCACGGCAGCATGAACTCGAGGAATGGATTCTGGCTGGAGACCGGGTTTGTTTTCAGTTGGATAGCAGGACCATGGCTACATAATTCGTGGAGAGGACTCATGCAGAGGGAGAAGATGAAGCATTTGCTCAAAGGGGTATCGAGATGTGTGGGGAGGTTGAGGCAGGAAGATCCCAAATTTGAGGCCAACTTCAGCTGTGACTCCCAGCTGCAAGACTCCTCAATTTTTTTTTTCCAAAAGTGTAACGAAAGAATATGAAGCCAGGTAGGAATCACCCACCTGCAGGTCACAGGCCCATGAGCTTGACAAAAAGAGAATGTATCAAAGCAATGGTAAAAGGGAGGCCTGAAGAACAGCAGCCCAGACGGCTCCCATGCTCGGCCTACCTCTGCCTTCCAAACATCTCGGACTTTCTGTGTCCTTATCCTCATGAATCAGTTCAAATCACTGGAAACTTAGGAGCTTTCTGTGGTCCCCTGGCACTGTAGCCATTCAAGGACTGTATTCCTAAAAGCTTCAGACACAGGGCTCAATTCCAGAGCCACCTGTGGACACGCAGGGACGGTCTGCCGCCTGCCTTCAGTTCTGTCTACCTTTGTGGAGGCCTGTCCAGAGCTGGAGTCTTTCCTGAGGCACGTGCCCAGTCTGAAAGTGGGTGGTGGCTGAGCAAACGCAAGGACATGGTGGCAATCTCATCTGCACATTGAGCTCCATCACCATCTCCGCTGGCTTCAACCTGAAAAGGACACAATGAAATGCCCTTGGTTTTCCATGAGGGACGCACGGGTCCATGAGGAGATGGGGTTAGACAACAAGACCCCCTATTCCCAGCCCCTCCCCTGAGGCCCCATACTCCAAAGCTTGACTCTCATTGATCTGCATTCCGCCTAGGTCCAGCATTTTTTCAGAGTCTGTTCTTGCCCTGGTCCCTCCACACACCATTCATCTTTCTCATAGCTAGCGCTCGCATCTCTAGAGTTGATAACCATGGTGCCATATTTCCCTAGTTAGTCCAAGGTCAGAACCCACTAGACAAACAGCCAAGTACAAGTTGGGCATATCCCGAAGGATCAAATGGATCTCTCAAGCAGAGTCCATATTAGCTAACCCAAAATGTTCTCATGCCACGCAAGGACCTAGAAGTGCTTACACATCAGTCTCAATGAGGTCACCTACACACACACACACACACACATCTAAACATTTGTATCTCTGATCTGTGCCCTCCTTCACCAGTCCTTCTAATAAAACCAGAGTCTAGAGTCCTGTTGGCATGGAAGTAACTGAAGCCTAAAAGCCCAAGGCCTCAGCCTTTCGCAGGCGCAGTTATATCCAGTAGAACTGAAAAACCGTGTGGAAGGCCACTATATTAGTCAAGCAGAAAAAATGCCTCCACCTGTGGGAACACTTCTCGCTTGATGACCCCCAGAACTATGCAAGGTTTAACCCTGTTCTAGGCCACATTCTCTCTCCTGAGAACAACCTTCACAAACACAAACCGGATGTCAGAATCACCCATGTCAAGTGCCCCAGAGGAGAGAAAGCAAGGAGGGAAATTCCAGCGGACGGTGTCCTAGGCAGAGCAGGGGTAGGGATAAGCTCTCAAAGGTTCTCTGTGCCATTGGCATTTGTGGAGAGTTCTGGGGATGCCCACTCAGTATCTGTCACTCAGGGATATGGCCACACTGTCCCCCCAACCTTGTCTGCCCCAGGACATGGGCAGAGTGGTTCTACTGTGCCCTGCAGGTATATGAAGGCACAGGAACACAGCATCCTGTAACTGCTCTGATTCTCCCTCCAAAGAGCTCCAACAACCCGAAGAGCAGCATCAGCACCACTACAAAAGTCACACTATCTGGGCTTTGCTGTCCATCTTCTTCTCACTCCAGGGGACCATGTTTACATGCCCCCTTGAGTAGCACCATGCGGGACTTAGCTGCCACTCCCCTTTAGCCTCAGCCTGACAGTCTAAATTTGAAGAGTCTATCTTCACCCTGGATTGCTAAGGATCATACCAACAGAAGTCAAGGCTCACAGAGGATCCAAAGGGAGCAGCTATCAGCTTCCTGGAATCTGAAGGACACGTGTTTTTGAGACGCCAAGGTCTCTCACTGGCCTGGAACTCACCAATTAAGATGGTTGGCCAGTGGATCCCAGCAATCTCCCTGATTCTGTCTCCCCAGCACTGAGAACTTTGTACCACAAAGCCCTGGTTAGGGATCAAATTCAAGTCTTCCAGCTTGCAAGACAATCCCTTCGGCGACTAAGTCTTCTTACTGCCCCACACACAGTGCCTCTGGACACGCATGTACCCCTGGGACTAATCAAACCCCTTCCCGAGAAGACAAACCAATGAAGTATGGCGTTTCCGCAGTGAATGGAGATGAAATGAGATGCGGTCTGTCCCCGTGAGCCTGGAGACGGTGGATAAGGAGTCTGTGTGCATCACAGCTCCCCTTGTGCACATCATGGGTTTCTACTGTGTGGCCGAACAAACTGTACCAGTCATTGAGGAGACTGGTCACTTGCACGGAGGAGCTGAGAGAGCACAGCTTTGTGACTCCCACAATGTCAGAGAAAAAGATGATGACAGATGCAAAATGTTCTGGTTCTACAGACTTCCCGGCTATGAGCTGCTCCCCAACGAAGCTGCAGTCTGAGAAAAGAGAGTTCTTAGCGAGCCCCTGCCTGTTTCCACTTCCACAGACCCTCTGGCTTCAGTGGGCTAGGTTCTAACTCATT